TGTCACCTTCCATGGCATTGAAGTATTTTCCAGTCGAAAGTAAATGTACTTTTCGTCTCGAAGGGCGAGAGATTCGTAAATTGGGTACACTGGAAAGAGAACAAGATCGTCTGAAATCGTTTGAAAGACTCATTCATAGGATCACGACCAATCTGGGCTGCAAATCTGTATTCTTCCATTGCAAAGAATTTCCATCAATTGTTCTGCAGACGATTTCTTGGCACAATTACAGTGTCTGTACGGGGATGTCACAAAGATGTATGCTACAAGCATTGTTTTAATATAATACCCAAAAATGAAATACGGCCTGTTTATAGTGGAGGAAGTGGCATCCACATAAGGTTACTAAATCCGGTCGCGGAGGGTCCAAACATTTGGAGAAGTGAGATTGTAAAGGATTTGGAGTAGTCTCTTTGGGTCGAAAAATTACTATTATATGTGCATGTTTTCTAAAGGCTGTACTTACGGAAGACTTGTGAATAGTCATTTTATCTAAACTTGAGAGGAACTGGTTACTACGACGCTAATTTTTTGTTGCAGCCATCCGACACCTGATTGTTGTCAGCATGCGAGAATTTCGTGTGTTCTATAGGACGGGTTAGCAATTGGGGACACGAGTAATTGAGGGACAGGCTTGTGTCTGCAGTGAAAGGCACTACAGTGTTATGATAATTCAGACTGGCCGCTACTTCCCACTTTGCCTCATCGTCCGTCTGCAGCCTTAGCGGGACTCGAACCATGGACGTGATGGTTCACCAGCTGCAGATGTGTTCCATCAGATAGGAAGACCAGGTAGTCTCGTTTAGTCCCCAATCGATCTGGCTGGTGGTGACTACTTCCTTTCGGAATCGGTACAGCCTTGGCTCAAGTCCAGCCAAGGCTGCTGATGGAAGCACGAGCCGAGCCCAGACCGACAGTTCCGCTAGAGTGTTCTCGGTCCCGTGGTCTCCACGGCGCAGTAAGCGTTAGCGCCAAAGTAAGCTTGCTCTGCAATTCTTTAAAGGTGGAATGGCCTTCATTTGCCATACTTGACGAAAGTCGTAATAACGACTGCAAGCTTGTTTGTCAGATTTTTCATGACTATTTTCATCATTTGACGTCATGGCAAGAAAGTGTTAGTGGGTTTCCTACTTGCATAGATATGAAGACCAAGACAATGTGGCCTTCTGTTTGGTCGCAGTCTGCTTCCTACATTCAATTGGCTAATAGAAAAGAAAGATGTCCTTCTAAATGGAATGTTAATGAACGAGAGTTCACCTTTTGTGGATGTTCTGGTTTCTAAGACAGATGATAAGTTAGGCAG